ACCCTGAGAATCTGTTTTCGCCGCTCGTCCGCACAGCGCTTACTCATCCAAGAGCCCAGCCCATTTAAGGCACACGTGAAGGGCGTAGTGATCGATGGCCCGAGTGCCACAGACCAGTGGATGCAATTTCAAAGCCATCCTCTTCATCAAACGGACCATGTCTTCTCCTAGGTAACACGAAGTGTAGCGATAATTGCGACCCTGCCGACAGTGATCTAGAATCAGGTGTTCTAGATGGTGAAGCTTGGGGCGTAGATGATACCTTAGTTGCTTGTTCTCTTCGGCCTTCAACGCAAGCTTGTTTAGCGCCTCTCTGAACAAAATGTAGTAGTGCTCGCAGCTCACCTTGCTTGTATCATCCAGCAACTTCCCATTGTTGAGCATGATATGCTGTAGCTGCTGTAAACCACCGGCAAGCCCAGCACGCAGCCTCGATCTTACAGTAATCAATGTTGTTGCATTTAGATTTGCTTGACACATATTAATCTAGTTGCAAGGTTTGTAAGGATGTTTTCTGTTCTAAGAAAACAAATTCGACCGAGCTACAAATCATCCTCGGTGCCGTGCTCTTCTGCAAACTGCCGGGCCATTTTCTCCAGGAAAATGAGCAATCCACGGGCTGATGCGGCAGATATAAAATGCTGCGAAACTGATGTGTAGGAAGTTCCACCAGGCCTCAGAACTTCCGTTGTGAAAAACTTAGCAGACACTCTATCTGAATCATTCCCGACCCATTCCCTATAAGCTTTAGCAAACCACTCCAGCCTCGCAGGACGGGTCGAGAGGCCAATCAGGCGGTTTGTGTCCGTCCAATCGAGCAATAAGGCAATGGCCAAGTCGGGGATGGTGGCCAGGTCAATGATATGCATGGGGTCAGGAAAAATACCTGAAATTATGTGCAAACTTAAATGGTATCACGTGCACTTCAACATTCAAAGCCGTTTGACTGCTGCAAGACACGGCAGTTGTTGAAGAACGGGATGGTGGTAATCGGGGTGGTGCCATGTGCAGTCAAGAACTCGTCGAGGCTTGTGAGCCTGATCCATTCGTGCATCATACAATCGAATAAGAATTAAACCATCATTTCGGCACTGCTTGCAGCTACGTGTCGTGGCTCTGTGCTTTGCATGCCGACCGAAAGCACTGAACAGCATCTCAGGATCTTTGGCTTCCTCCTCGGCATCTTCAGCCGTGCTGCAGTAGGCGATTGCCTGAAGGACCGATAACTGATGCGAGTCGGGACTTCAGTTCTTGCAGCCTCTATATACACATAGAAAAGACCCCTGTACGTTGTTGCCCCAGAACCTTGCAATAGTAGCATACTTGTCTGGAGGACGCTGTGCCTTAGCTCGCAAACTTGGCTTTCAAGCGGTGAAAGCAAACATTGTGTTTGTCAGCGATGATGCATCCGGATCCTAAGCACCCCACGTGTCAGCTTGAAAACCAACCTCATGAAGTCTTGATCCCCTTCCATGCCATCCAGGATCGCAGTGTAGGGGCCGGCGATGCGCTGGCCTGCCCTTGAGGCTCGCCTATGCTCCAAAGGTTGACCTTTGTGGTCGGTAGCTGGGTAAGTACCAGAGCCTCAGATCTTGAGAATCAAGTTTATGGTTGGATAATAATGATCCCTGAATCCTATAAACCCTAAACGATGTTGGTGCTTGCACCCACTTGATGGTTTCCAATTTTTACTCTGTGGAACATAGATGACCGAAGCTCCAAGAAATCACCTGCATGATTTCTTCACGACATTGATCATCGCACATCGTAGAGTTGG